AGGTTAATATTTAAACTATCTCCAGCCACAGAAGATCTCACCTATACTACGGAAGAAATCCGAGCATTCCGTCCGATCTCGGACTATACTGCTCAGTTCACTCAGGAGTTCCATACCTATTTGACTCTATCTGAAGACAAAGGTGAGGACGAACATCTTAGCACCATCAATGAGGTCAATTTCCACGTGCTCATCTGCGAAAGGCTCATCCCTTTTTCCCAAGCAGACTTCTCGGGTTTGGACCCTGAGGAAATCGCGTATCGCCTGGCACTGGCCATCGCGATTGCATCAAAAAGGGGGTTTCGCTTGAGAGATTGTGGACGCGGCAGCTGGGGCTTTGGCCTCCGGAACGGCAGAATTGTCCCATTGCTCTTAGACGGCAATAGCTGGACAAGATTGGATCCCGAAGATGACCTCTTCGGCAAATGGCCCCCCAAGAAACTCATCGGCAGCTTCTGGTCATTACTTTCAGAAGTACATGAACCTGCCTCAGCGGAGATCTACCAAGAGGTATGTTATCCATCAAATGCCACCCAGTTTGACTCCGACCACATCAGCGATTTTTTACTACGGCGTCTCGCAGGGTTAGATACCCCTCAAGCATGGAACCCATTTAATTGAGTTGGGGCACTTCCCAATTGATTCGGGACACTTTGCGGCCCTTTCGCAATTCTCTTTATGATCGCGGCATTATTATTGTGGGTACATCCCATCTTCGAACCGCTTTGGCAGATTCTATGAATTTTTCTTGCGATTTTCGTTTCAATATTTACAATATTGGACGGATATTGTGCTCAGTCCGCAATACATTTTTCTTTGACACTGACGAGCTCCTCTGTGGAACATTTCTTTTCTATGCATAGATTATGCTTCACCCTGCCGTATTAGATTTGACTACGATATTGATCAACATCCACATCAAAGTATTTTCAATTCTCATCCTTGGAGCATTCTGCATAATGCTATCACCATATCACTTCACTCTGCCGTATTTGTACTGACGCAGTATTGACTCCTCATCTGCATTGCTGCCTCGGCTATGGCTGGACCTTGAGCATTCTGCATAATGCGCCACAGTGACCACCATCTTTCTTGGTGAATGTACAATTCATTTCATGATTTGGTTCCCTGACACTTATCTCATCTGCTGGAATGGTTCTCACTTCGGTTTTTGGGGTTGTGCTTGGCGATAACCATTTCCCCAGATAGTTGTTAGTGGGTTTATTTGTGCCATCTGGAATAATGGTTCTGAATTTGAACCCTGCGTGTTTGATCTGTGAATCTGACATATCCAGCAGATGAAAAAGTGCGATGTCATTTTAGACAACGACGGGGAACGTGCGTATGGCGATGTATTCGATAGTTGATTATTTTGGTTTAATTTGGGAATCTAGATTTTAACCCTAGGCCCAAACAACAAATGAAAGTCCTTGAAGAACGTTTAGTGTACTTGTTCGCTGTGTTTTGCAAGGATCTTCTTTGTTCCTGTTTCCATTTTGGCTCAAGGACTTTCATTTGTATGTTCAACATTTTTGTTTTCCCTCCCCCCCTCACCTTTTTTCAATCTTTTGGGGGTATTGAGATAATTTCTCGTTATTTCACTCTCGATTGTCCACTCCTGACTGATATACCTTCAGTTGCGCATCTCGTTTTTGATTGGATGACAAAGTCATCATCCACTTTCTTACCATTTTTTGGACCCAAGTCAACAACTTTGCTCAGCGTTATTTGCCATTCACTGGCTATCCAGGAGGATATTTTCCTTCCGAGGTCTATCCATATTGGAATGACCTCAGAGCACTATGACAAACAATCCGGATGGTTTGAGAGTTCACCTGGGTTTGGGTTTGTTGTTTTGGTGCTGTTTGCTGTATTGTTGGTGAATTTCACTCAAACATCTACGGATGTCTACTAATGCAATTTTCTGAATCATGCTTTTTGCGAGAGTCACATCGGATGACAATCCTGGGCTCTCTTATGTTCTACGACTCCGAATATTTCAGTGAAGGTCCAGGATATTTTCCTGGCGCTTGTGGTGTTCTCCGTGTTTGTTGGTGATTTACTACTCCTGGTCAGATTCCTCTATATCCAGGATGGGTGATTTGTGCCATCTGGAATAATGGCTCAGAATTTGAACCCTGCATGTTTGATCTGTGAATCTGACATATCCAGCAGATGAAAAAGTGCGATGTCATTTTAGACAACGACGGGGAACGTGCGTATGGCGATGTATTCGATAGTTGATTATTTTGGTTTAATTTGGGAATCTAGATTTTAACTCTAGGCCCAAACAACAAATGAAAGTTCTTGAAGAACCAAAAAATTTGCTGCGCTTACATTTTTTTGTGCCTTATAAGGAAGGCAAAAAAAAAGAAAAAACGGTAAACTCAAACGAAGTGACCACCGTTGATGTTGTTGTTTTCTGGTTGTCTAGTACCTAATGCCTTGGTTCGGTCTTTAAGGCTTTTTAGGTACCAGGTTTTCTTCTGTGGAAACCTCCAACCAACACAAACAACAACTTCGTTTTTAAATCTTCTCTCGTTAAGTCCCTCATTTTTTGGTTTGTGTGCAAACCATGTTCGTGTTCAACCGCGCTCGCCTCAAACAGTTAGGGTGGGTGGTGGGAGCAACTGTTTTCCACTTGTAGGAACTCGCGACCCGCCCACAACCCACCCCGCGAGTTCGGGGGGAAGTTGAGCAGCTCCCAATGTGTACAATGTTTTCATTTGAAATTTCGCCATTTTCAGATTTGAGTTTGTGGTCATAGGACCAAACCTTGCAGAAGTGCAATGCCTTGTGAAACTGGAAGACAATTTCTTTTTTCAATGCAAATGACAAAGAGTCATGTTTGAAAGCTCCTTCGTTGGCGACAGAGTGAACGCACTCCACGGAATCTCCCCAATTAACAAAGCTGGACAAAAAGTGAAATAATATGAAGTGCGAACTTTAAGAAGTTCATTCACATTATTTGAAATGTTTTGTAAGCGCGCTTTTCCCACGTTACGCGATAAAGGCGCCTTGAGCCTGCTCACACTTCAACTTCAAGGGTGTGAAGCCATGTCAACCGATGTGATGGACATACCGTATGTGTTCACTGCAGCATGGGTTGGACTTCTTGGTGCTGACTTGCTCTGGATGTCACAGTGCTCGAAAATCAACAGGGGTACACGGGTACACGTGATGACCCAAATTTTGGTTTTGCAGAAGGATCTGACGACGTTGACACAGCAAGCGTCATTTCCAAATGCCACAACTAACGTGCTCAAGCGTACAACAAACGTCGAGCTCTTCTGGCAGATTTCATGAACTTCATTGGAGCTGCAAATGACGATGCTGAACACAACTGATGACATCAGTAGCCATGAGAGTAGTCCTACAAAAGATATGGATGAAGGAGAAGAAACCAGATCCAGAAGGATGAGAACTGGTCATTTGGCGATGATCAATCTGCAAGGCGCAATGGCCATGCAGTGGCAGGGATGTGTTGGCAGTACATCTTCGTCGTCGGCAGATGGCTCATGGTTTGGAGTTGCCTTCTTGACAACATGGAGTATGCTTTAGATTGGATACTCATGGTACATGATGCGCAATGTGAACAAGTTCAGCAATGTGCAGGTACCGCTATTTCCTGACACATTGAACGCTTTTACTGAACCTCAAGTGACTCATGAATCCACTAGCATTGAAGGTCTAGTGACATGGACCTTGGTACGGGCATGTGGAAGACTTCGACGCGCAACTGAAGCTGGAAACATAGGTTCTGGCATGAGGTATCAGCAGGTACAACTATGGCTTGAATCATGTTTGCAACACTTACCAACGGCAAGTTTGCAAGATCGACAGAAAGCCTTGGATTCTCTTGGTGATGAATATGAACTTTCAGAGGATGACAGCTCTCCAACTTACAACTTGGGGAGAGATGAACGCGCTCTCCTCACCAACAGCCACGGGGAGATTCACCAATGTCTGGTGAGACTCTTGGAGCTGCAGAAAGTGGAAATCACCTCAGAACTCTTGAGCTCCTGACCCTGCAGACTCAGATGGAGACGACGCAATGGGTAGAGAAGAAACAAGCTCCCAGCGCTTGGCGCGCTACAGGAGCAGCGAGCAGTGTGAGGTGAGTGACCCAGATGAATGGGCTGTGATCCACTACGGCCCAGCAGACAGAGACCAAAGCGATAACGCAAGCACAGAAGGAGAACAAAAAATCTGATGAATTCTGAGCGTGAGAGATGCAGTTTTGGAAAAGGCACCACCTGATATTGTCATTGGGGGAAGAGACAAGGATCTTACCATTGGCAATCGTGCCATAGCAGTTTCACCGCACAGAGCCCCAATAGAGGCAACACTAAGGACATGAAACAGTCCTGAGGGGCAAAGTAGCAGCAAGGGCTGAAAACATTCAACTCATCCTGCATCAGCTGTCTTGTGATGTACATTTGTCAGTTCATCGCAGTAACATGTCAGTTGCAGCATGTTCACCTGAGAGCTTATCGTTGAGGCGCTTTCGGCTCCAAAAAGATTTGCAGATGGACAATTTTGGGCGGGAGGGACCGAATGCATTGAATGCTTGCATTGGTGATCGTCGCAATTGCATGACAGTCCATTCGATCATGAATCATAAGTCACATCGTTGTATGATAAAAACGGGGTGAGGTTGTACATTGAAATCATGAAATGATATACATACCAAAAACGCGTTGTCAAGAACATGTTTTGATTCCCATCGTTAATGTCAGGTCAACACGTCAATGTTCTCCACCTGCCAAACCTTTGGATCGTGACTGCAATGATATATTGAGTTCACATCATTTGCGATGATGTTTGCATAACAAGTGATTCGTAGTTGATTTGTGTTTGCAACCGCCGTTTAGTGGCCAATGTGTTTGGGTTCTAGGTTGGGAACTAAAATTTTGGCACGCCATCCAGAACATGATAAATCTGATAAAAATGATTACGATGATAAAATTGATAAAACTGTTCAAATTGATAAAACCATAACGCTACACACCTTTGGTTTTCGGATCCTGCGCCATGGCGCCAAAGAGTCGATCCAAGAGTTTGGCCAGGGCTGAGACCCAAAAAAAGGCACTTAAGAAATCGGCGTGAATCTCAGTACCTGAAGTACCAAATATATATATTATAATATAATTCCAAATATCCAAATTAAATGAAAAAATGAACCGTACCGCTGTACTGGATGATTCCAGGATTCGTTTGCGTTCAATATTGCACATTTGGGTGTGAATTCGTCAAGGCCACCACAGCTGCGGTTACGACAGAGAAAAAACAAGTCGACTTGAGTTTCTTGGAGGAGGCAAAATTTGTTGTGGTCGCATTGAGTTCTCATTGGTTTCGAATGGTGTTTTGAACATGGTTTTCATAGTTTTCATGTTTTTAAATTGTCATATTTGGATGTCATGATTGGCTGGGGTCAGGTGGATTCATCAATCGATGAAAACCGCATTCCGAAAGTCTTTCAACTTCTCGGATTTGGCCTGGCGCAGGAGATGCAGTCAAAAGTTCAATATTGTCCACTGCAATTATAGCAGTCATAGCTATTGTATATCCTTCACAACATGGGAAATTGAATTTGCAGAATTTCCAAAACATGACTTGGCTGCAAAAATTTGTTGTTCACTTTGCCAGGGCGATCGGCAATGTCTACTGGCTGCATGTAGTGCTGTTGAACGCATTTGTCAGGACAATTTGCCCTTTCGCAGTTTGGTTTGTGCAGTGTTTCCAACAGTTTAATGTTACCATTTTGCACGCCAACCCAATGTTCATTGGTTAGTAGGTTTGTATTATTTTGTATATATAATATATAATATAACATTAGAACACAGTAGAACTACTGCACAGCACAGGACAAAGAAGGCTTCATCACGTTGGTCAAGGTAGGTGCTACGTGCTGCCATCAACCAGACATAAACAAACAATGTCATCGCTCACAGCCTCACTGCCTTCTAATCAAGAGTAAAACCCACCTATGGAGAGGATGTTATCATTTCAGAATGGACAATGGACAGGCCAAAGGAGTGGAGACTATGCTATCCTTTTTGCGACATTTACCACAAGCTCATGTTTCGCCAGCTACGTCTGAAGCTGTTAATGCAGCTGCCTGTTGCTCAGTTGGCACTTTCTGAAATCACGCGTTTTGACCTCACTTGCCATGTGATCCATGTGGCGTTGATCAAATTTGGAGGCTGCAGCAATCTTTCAACGAGCTTCTACATGGCTAGATGAAGTGGCAAGACTGGCTAATTCGAGAAACACAATTCTGAGGTTACTGTTCCGTCCAATCCCAAACTCTGCCAGGACGAAGTTGATTTTGATCAGCTACAACATGTGTTGCATTTGGCATTTTGGTTCCGATCTTGGTTGAATCAGCAGCAAACACAAATAGACACAATCTTTCAAATGTTGCTCGAGAAGAAATTGACTTGTGAAATCCTAGAGTACACTTTGTTTTCCTGACAGGTTAGGATCTGAAGATGAGGATGTTGCTCTTTCAGTCCGGTACTCTGTAGTGAAAGTACATTGACACAAGAAACATGTAAAAAAAATCAAAACGCACTGAGTTGATGTTTTGCGATTTGTCATGCTGTGCGCATTCCCAATTTTGGTCTGCCTTTGCTACAGGCCCTAGGAGCAATAGAACGCTTCACACTCTACAGGAGACTGAGTGCTCGGGGGTCATATAATCATATATCTCCTGAAGGATCTGCGTCGGGAGTATTGATAGAAGCTGGTTCATTACCTAAACAACCATTGGATACCATTGAAATCCATTGAAATCCATTGAAATCCATTGAATATGAATAACGCATTTGAGTCAATTGACCTGGAGGGATCGTAGATGCTTCACCCTGACTGCGATGGATAGCTGTGCTGTCAAACACATTTCATCAACAGACCCAAGTGACAAAGTGATAAAAAGTGACAACATTGCATGATGCTGATCTGCCATAATTTCAATGACAAGAGACTTGTCAGGAGCGAGAACGGAGCTACCCTCCTCCAGTCGGATGTCTTGCAGGCCCACATCGGGAATAGTGTAGTGTAGGTTGACCAACGTGACCAAATGTGACCAAGGCAGGGCCGAGGCAGGGCCAAGGGGTCATACGAGTCCGTTACGAGTCATATGATTTGTGTCAGGTTCTGCACCGCATCATTGGCCACAATCGTGCGCCAGAGTTGGTCTCGGAGGCGCTCAGCTTTGAACACGTCTGCATCGACTCACACAACACATGGCTCTCGCATGCTCTCGCTCTCTGTGAACATCTTGATAAATCAGCATCAAAAACATAGCACATATGTTTTGATTCCTTTTGATATGGCCTTGGCGGCATGTCTCATCAAAGCGATGCAAAGCGATGCAAAGCGATGCAAAGACTTATTCCTCGCCAGGCATTCACACTTCTGTACCGACTTTGCGATGCACCAGCGCCTGCAGTCGTACGCCCGTAAGACCAAGCAAGAATGGGTTGAAGAAAACAGGTTTGAGGCTTGCCATCGGAAGAGTGTCTGTAAAGTCCGAAGAGGTTCCGTTGGTGACTGATGAGAGCGACCTAGTACGAACAGTAGCCCTGGCCCCAGCATCAGTAGACTCTGTCCGTATACTATAGGAAGTGCTTTGATGCTGACGATGCTCACATACATGCAATATCATGCAATGGTTTCAGCTCCTCTTTGAGGATCCTGCTCAAGTCCATCTGAGGTGGAATCAATGACACAAGCACCACTGAATATGCCACTTAGTCAGACTTAGATCACTTAGTCAGACTGCAGTATTCCGGGTTGACTAGCCGACATTAGCCGACTAGCCTCTGTTTTCTCTGGAGCACCGTCGTTCACACTCGTTGACTTTGTGAGGGGTTCTTGCAAGCCTGGAGTCGTACTCAAGCTGCAAATCATATGGATCAAATTGGAACGATAAACATCAATAAGCATGGGAGTTTTTGTTTCATAACGGAATTCTGATTTGTGAGTGACCGGAATTGGGTGTGCCTTCTCAGTTGAAGCATGTTCATAGTACTGTTGTACTACCATTCCTGTACTGTCCGGATGAGCCTCTAATTGAGGCGCCTTCAACTTGCTGGTATACGCCTTTTGGCACTTTGGTCACAGACGCCCCGGCGAATTGACATTTGGACTTTCGAATCCTCATACAGGTATGTCACATATGTATACATATGTCACAGGATAGCTTTTTCAGTCGCAGTGGCGAAGCGCTGCTTACATAATCTGTTTGTCTTAGATATTGACTACTTTTTACATCTTGTTACTACCGTTCACTATGCTTCTCTGAACATTCTTGCTGTATCCTGCCGCTCTATATATAGAAGCTTTGGACCAAAGGCAGATGGACGTGCTCGTTTCGTATTGGCATCAGATAAAATTGGATTCGTGACAGGTTTGACCTGGGAGAAGATCCTGCTATATCTGATCAAAAGGATAGCTGCAGATAGTCAGATAGACCATCATGTCAGCATGTTCAGTGGCATGATGGGATCAAAATGGATCAAATATCCTAGATTCCTAGATTCCGTTTTGCTGGTGAGGATCTCAAGCAGTTCATCAGAGAGGCTGCGATGCTTCTGAGAAATCTTGAGAGACAATTAGCATTCCGGAACTTGGCCAACATGAAGTGCAGTATTTTTTTCCAGACCCCTTTCTGAACCTGTTGATTTAGCTCCAGACTTTACCAGAAAATACCATGCTCTACCAGGCATTTGGATTCATTTAGATTCCAGATCCACCTCCAATCCAAATCTACCAGGCAAATGGATATGAAGTTTCGAGGGAGGTCATCGCAAATCTCAAGCGTGCAGGGTTAAGACCTGAGTCACTTTGCTGGCGAGCGATGGTCTGTGCTAGAATCAGCGGAGGGCAACATGCTGCCATGCTAAGAATGCTATAGACTGTGTAGTGTAGAATGTACAGAATCTGCAGATGATGAGGCTCAGCCATGCTGCTGCTTGGATGTCGACGATTTCTTCTCGTTTGCTTCAGCCTTGGGGGACAGTGCACAGATTTCGACAGGCGATTGCAGGTTGAGCACTGTTCTGAGGCCGCAGAACGTCCGTGGCAAAGAGTCCAAAGAGCAAAAAGCTGAGAGAAACGGTCTTTTTTGGTACAATTGGTACAATGTACAAGTTGTGTGACTCTTGTGTGTATCAAACAAGATACTTGGACAAGATGAAATTTACACTTGCCAAACCTTCGTGTGTCAAATTCATCAACAGGAAAGCTCACGCAAGTCCACTGGCACTTGTATACTTACAGTGTGGATCGAGGAATTCCAGGGGTGGTTGAGTTGCATTTGCATTTTTGACTGTTTCTTTGTGCTCCCCAAGCCACCAGAGGAGCAGCGCAAAGTTGCTTGCAAACGCAATCATTTGTGATCTACAGAAAACATGCATATATATTTATATATCCAACAACATGTATAATAATAGTAATAACAACACCGACAACAACAATATATAATAATATATATGTATATATATATACACATGTACATACAAACACGTGATATATATATATATAATATACAAACATGTATATTACGTGTATGTATATATATATATAGATACATGATATGAAATGATCCCATATAAGATGATATGATATGCTTTGGTATGAGACGATATGATATGATATGATATGCCATGAAGTGATACGGTATGAAATGACACTATATGATAATGTATACATATATATATATATAATTATATATATAATTATATATATAGGGGCCTCCGAATAGCTGGCATCCGTAAAAAGCATCAAAAATGCAATCTAAGCTAAAAAAATAGCAATGTCAAAACAAAACAAACCAAGTTACTCTGCTAGTGGCGCGCGGGCACACACACAGAACTTGTTTTTTCCAGGTGACCGGCCGGGGGAGCGTCGCGAGCGCCGGTTGCAGTGCACACCCCATATTCACCTGGCTCCTCTGAGCCAGTAAACAACACACAGGTATCAACCTGCTGTGGAAAGTTTGAAGCAAGTATCACTATCGCATGCTGTCTAATGACCCAAAAATCACAAATCAAAAACTAATCGTCACTGTACTGGAGGCGTTTGGCAACGCCATCGGGGATCACAGAATCACATCTTGCAAAACCGGATTTGGTCGGCATTGGGCTGTCCAGCAATTTTCTGACAAATCGTCTGGTGCTGGCAACCCTCTTTTCTGGTCCTAAAAACCAAAAACACAGCATCAACCCTGTGGTAGATGAAGCTGTTAAAATCGGAATGCCTGTCAAGGCTTCAATGGCATTCGAAACATGCCTCTCTTGCCACGCAAGGATGTACAAAGCTTCGCAGTATTTGAAAGGCCTGTAAAAAATGGAGGGGATCCACCCTGCAAAATCTACATGGCAGCCTCCACAATACATAGGTAGAAAAGACCAGATAGCCAACCAAATGGAAATGCCACCCAAGATGAACAACAGCCAGCTATGATCCCGACCCAATCTCTGGGACGGAAAAGCTCAGGCAGAGCGGAGCTGGAGCTGCGCAACCACATCCCGCACAATCTCTTCCCGGCTACGGGGGAGCTGCTCATTGGGACAGAACTGTTTTAGCAAAGCCTTGACCTCTGCCACCGGGAGGGCTGAAAGCTGGTCACTAACTTTCTGCCAGCTTGAGCAGCTCGAGGGGTCACTAAGGAGCTGCTTCACACCATTCTCCTGGAAAATCTTTGATTCTGCGACAATGACTCGACAAGTCTTCGGGGTGAGAGGATCTGCAGAACTGGTCCTGTCTGTACGGGGGAGTTTGGGAGAACCGGCTTTGTGTCCTGGCACAGCTCTCTCTGCCTCCACCGCAGCACGGACCTCGGCTCGCAACTTGCCCATTTCAGCCTGACGACGAAACTCCAGCAACTCCTTCTTTTCCTCGGCAGAAAGGGTTCCAGAGCTGCCTTCAGACCGCGGGGTTCGCTCTTGCTCTTCTTTTCCCGCTTCTGCTTTCTGGCCTTCTTGTCATTGGGCGACGAGCTGGAGGAAGACGAGGACGAGGACTTCTTCTTCGAGCGCTTCTTCTTCTTCTTCTTTCCTTTCACTGCCTCTTCCACTAGCATGTCTAGTTTGTCCAAGCGGCCATGCAAGCCACTACGGTCTTGACTTCCTTGCCAACCACCATCGCCACCACGGTCACGCCAGCCATGGGTCTGCTTCCGCGACCTGCTAGGGTACATTGACAGCACCGGGGACACAAAGACTGCCACCAAGAGCAGCCACAGGTAGCAAGCCATGGCAAACGGCACAGCGGGCAGGCACGAGACAACTGGGCACGGACTACAGTGACTACAGGGGTACACCGAACGAGCAAAAACAATGCAATGACCAAGCAAGTCACCAAAGAACAACAAATTAGTACGCACTCATGCCCAAATGCTAGCAGAGAACGAGGCAGACACACTTACTCCCTGTGATTGGCTTCCGGTAGCAACCAAATGCCACGGAAACCTTTTAGAAACATGCGCTGGTGGCGCGGCATCAAGATGTGACGAGCCTGGAAAAAAGCAGCTCGCACAATACTAGCCGGCCAAGCATGATGGTACAACGAATGCAAAACATGCAAGACAGCCTCCAACCATGCAACATCATCAAGGGGGACCTCATACCAGCGGTGAAACCGACCACTGAAAAATGAGCGCAAAAACCCGGAAGGCGCCGCCCAGTAAGGAGGAAAAACCCAAGGCTTTTGGATCATAGACCATTGCAAACGATTCACGTCGAGGGAAGCATCAAGCCAGTTCACAACAGGACCGTCGAAGCGATGTCAAATTTAACAGTGTAATTACATGGTATCAAGGGCAAGGTGAAGACACTGCTGACAATAGACGCCGGAGATCCAGAGCACATCATCCACATACCTTGCACGGGCTACTTCCCTGTCCCAAAGAAGGGTTGTAGCCGCAAAACCAAGACGTTTACGCAAGACGACATTGTGCAGCCAAGCTTCTTCTTCACAACCAAGTACGATGCTCGCAGCAACTTTTGACAGGACGCCCATTATGGGCAATCCCTCCATTCTGAAGCATGCATCCCCTACACGACACAAACCCATGAACATGCAAGCAGCAAACGCCAAGACAAGGTCAAAGATCAAGAAACAATATGAAGTCGCACCCTGCTGATAGACGCTGCCACCAAGATATGCGTGACGCCTTCGGCCCCGGAGGACCGTCACAGTGTTTTTTCCCGTAGCGGAAACAACCCTACGGGCCAGCTGCATAGTCATGTGGACAGCGACAGAAGGACTGACGGTTTCATAAAACTGGCCAGCATCTGCGGAGAAAACAACCACAGGCGGCTTGTTTTTCCACAGCGACCACAAGTAAACGACCGACAAGTATGCGCAGAAGCGGTTCATCCTTCAAACCCCACACCTCGTCACTCATGACAAAAGACCGGACCAACGTTTCAAGCGCTTTGTGAACAAACCTCCATCGCCGGCGGCTTGGCCAACCAGCAAAGGACACAATTTTCCGCATGCAGGAGTGGCCTGCTTTTTGACAAGTATGCAACCCATCGCGGAAACATTTTGCTTTGAAGGTACCGTAAGTGTATGGGAGCACACAGCGGTACCGACGGAAGCAAATGAACTTTTTCATGCGGTCAGTGAGCAAGCAATGCAAAACCGTCAAGCACCATTCGTTCGCAACCTGCACGCTAAGGCAAGACACATGCCATGTTTTAGCCACCAAAGCAAAATGCCAGGAGCAAGCGTTGATACAGCCACACAGGAAGGAGCCACATATATTTCTTGGCTTTGTCATCTGGGACAACAGCCTGGTCTGGGCACGGACGCATGTCCGCAGTGTAAGACTCGTACTCCACCAACGTAGCAAGCTGGCGACGACTTTCCTGAATGTACACGGGGCAGGAAATGAGCACACGGACGCCACACGAAGTAGCCGCAGCAACATCCGAGACACACAAGCCAAGTTTGCTGCAACAAGACGCCACGCACCCTTCAACAGCACGGGACGCATCAGACGACGACAGCCGAACAGGCACATCCCACACTTTTTCAACTCGACGCAAGCCATCAAGCACACCAAGCGAAAAAGCGGCATCAATCCTTTTGCTCTGCAGCTCTTTGCTCACCTTAGGGGCATTGAACAGGTCACGAAATTTTGACGGGGAAGCGACAACGAAACGGACACACGACATGGCCCAAACACGCTCATGGTCGTTCCAACCCAAGGAGCAATTTGCTATTGTAGACCGTACAGACTGCTTGACAGTTGGCAACAAGCAAGCTGAAGGGACTTTGCACGAGAGGCCTGACACAGGGGGCAATGCTCTTGAACGCAATGCGTCATTGACACGCCTTGTAGCCTGCGCTTTTCTACCCTTACCTTGGACCAAGCCAATGGCAGGGACCAAAGCAGCAGGACCACAACGAGTACCCCACTTGCTTTCCATGACTTTCCAATCAACAACAGCATGTTTGGAACCACGCCAGGTAGCCAACAAGCGAGAATGACAAGGAGCATACAAATCAATCGGGCCAAACAAACCATACTTCACCAAGCGCAAACGCAACAAGAAAACATACAAGGATGCAAAATCACTTGGCCACGCGTGCGAAGGTGCAGGAGCGCACGCTGCAGAAGGAAGCTTCACATGAGCAAAAGGCCCTTGCACACTCAGCTGTTTGCGGCAATGCTTCGGAGGCCGTCTTCTCGGAGGACCACCAGAACTGCAGCTTTGCCTCTTACGGTGGCCATTACATGGCACATTGGCATTGGGTTTCCTAGCGCGAATCTCCAACTGCTCCAAGGCACTAATGCGAGCACGCGTATCCACACGACAAAGGAAGAAGAAGGACAAACCAAAATCAACTTGACGCATGCACTTGTATCGCAACCGCTTGCTATCTCGACAGTGAGGCCGAAGAAGTAAAGCACCATGCTCAAGCCATTTGCGCGCAACACCGCAGTGAACGGACCCACACTTCCGGCGGAGCCCGGCCATACCGACGTAGTAAGCACACGGAGCAACCCAACAATACAACGCAGCACCAGTAGCACGTTCAACGCCAAAAAGGCTTGAGACATCCAAGTGAGGAAGAACAGTAGCAAGCTGCAAGGAAACCAAACTGCTGACTGCACGCCGAACATCGGTCCGGGTCCAATGTTTTAGGCCGATCTTCTCTCCAAAGAGCTTGCCTGTGCTGGTCTTCAAGGAGCAAAACGGCCTTATAGGCCCAACGCCGTCTTTTGCTGCCAGAAAGCCGCAAGAGCGAACGACAAACCGCGCAAGCAGACCACAAGGTTTCAACATGAACATTTGCCTTTTTCCACTGAGAATCTTCAGGAAAGATCCAGCTACTACACAAGAGGTACCCGTCCAAAAGCACTTTCCAGAAAGCCTTTGGCGGTCTTGTCATGCACAACCCGTCAACAGTACAGAGCGCAATCTGCTTTGCCAAACAAGATGCAATCACGCCAACAGATTTTCCCTCAAGATCTGCAGTCAACTGAACTAAGAGACCAAGGCCGGATTCTTGGCAAGCACGAGCCACAGCGCCAACAACACCGGCAGGAGTTGCCGGACAGAAAGGAACGCGACAAAACATGAACCAGAAAATCAATGGCACAAGCAAACAAGCAGCAATATGGAACGTGGATTTCACAACGGAGCCCACGCCGACACAGACAGTCACTGTGAGGCGGGGGGATAACAAGGCCCACCGAAGTCAAGGACACCTATGCGCACAGGTTGTACCTGACCGGTCTTAGGCCCAGCGAAGACCAATGTCAAAACAAAACAAGCCAAGTTACTCTGCTAGTGGCGCGCGGGCACACACAGAACTTGTTTTTTCCAGGTGACCGGCCGGGGGAGCGTCGTGAGCGCCGGTTGCAGTGCACACCCCATATTCACCTGGCTCCTCTGAGCCAGTAAACAACACACAGGTATCAACCTGCTGTGGAAAGTTTGAAGCAAGTATCACTATCGCATGCTGTCTAATGACCCAAAAATCACAAATCAAAAATTAATCGTCACTGTACTGGAGGCGTTTGGCAACGCCATCGGGGATCACAGACTCACATCTTGCAAAACCGGATTTGGTCGGCATTGGGCTGTCCAGCAATTTTCTGACAAATCGTCTGGTGCTGGCAACCCTCTTTTCTGGTCCTAAAAACCAAAAACACAGCATCAACCCTGTGGTAGATGAAGCTGTTAAAATCGGAATGCCTGTCAAGGCTTCAATGGCATTCGAAACATGCCTCTCTTGCCACGCAAGGATGTACAAAGCTTCGCATTATTTGAAAGGCCTGTAAAAAATTAGCAAACATGGGGTATACAGGATTTAGGGGTTTACCGATGGCATACCCCACGGGATACTTGTATACTTGACCTGTTTAACAAGTATAGAGAGTTCTAGGTTCCAAAGATGGCACACCATATTCCGGGGATGTATATATATATATATATTATATAGATGTAAGTATATGTCATACGTATATATAGACGTATATATATATATATATTATTTTGTTTAGTGCCCTAAGATGGCTTTTGCAAATAGCTACTAATAGCAGATTTTTGCCCACATCTTTGTGTGGGGTTCTTGTTTTTGATTCTGTATCCCGCCGCCTCCTCCTTTTCCTCCTCCTCCTCCGCCGCCTCCTCCGCACACAACACACACATCTTTCACACACACACAAAACTTTGTCAACCACCATCTGTCACACACACACACATCTTTGTCAACCACCATCTTTCACACACACACACATTTTTGTCACACACCATCTTTCACACACATCATGTTTCACAATCTTTCACACACATCTTCGTCAACCACCATCTTTCACAGACAACTTTGTCAACCACCACCTGTCACACACATTTTTGTCACACACCATCTTTCACACACATCTTTGTCACACATCATTTTTCACACACATCTTTGTCACACATCATTTCTCACAATCTTTCACACACATCTTTGTCGACCACCATCTTTCCCACACAACTTTGTCAACCACCATCTGTCACACACACACACATCTTTGCCACACATCATCTTTCATCTTTGTCAACCACCAATTTTCACACACATCTTTGTCACACACCATCTTTCGCACACATCTTTGTCGCACATCATCTTTCACATACAACTTTGTCATACGCAATCTTTCCTTTGCATGGCAAGCATGGCGCTTGGTGACATCCACCTTCGAATCACGTGGCAGGAGACCTTCGTTTCACGTGGCAGGTGTGGCACTTGGCGACATCCACCTTCGTTTCACGTGGCAGGCGTGGCGCTTGGCGACTTCCGCCCTTGTTTCACGTGGCAGGGGTGGCACTTGGCAACATCCACCTTCGTTTTGCGTGGCAGGCGTGGCACTTAGGGCACTGGGCTGGCTCTGGTGGCGCGCTTGGACTGGATTGGTCGCCGGTGACGCCATGGCACTTTGCGTGGCAGGCGCGGCACTTGGCGACATCCGCCTTCGTTTCACGTGGCAGGCGTGGCACTTAGCGACACCTTCGTTTTGCGTGGCAGGCGCGGCACTTAGGGCACTGGGCTGCGCTTGGACTGGTCGCCGGTGACACCGCGGCACTTTGCGTGGCAGGCGTGGCGCTTGGCGACATCCACCTTCGTTTCACGTGGCAGGTGTGGCACTTGGCGACATCCACCTTCGTTTTGCGTGGCAGGCGTGGCGCTTATAGGGCACTGGGCTGGGTCCGGTGGCGTGCTTGGACTGGATTGGTCGCCGGTGACGCCGCGGCACTTTGCGTGGCAGGCGTGGCGCTTGGCGACATCCACCTTCGTTTCACGTGGCGTGGCAGGCGTGGCACTTGGCGACATCGTTCGTTTTGCGTGGCAGGTGTGGCACTCAGGGCACTGGGCTGGCTCTGGCGGCGCGCTTGGACTGGATTGGTCGCCGGTGACGCCGCGGCACTTTGCGTGGCAGGCGTGTCACTTGGTGACATCCGCCTTCGTTTCACGTGGCACTGGTCTGGTGGCGCGCGTGGACTGGATTGGTCGCAGGTGACGCCGCGGCACTTTGCGTGGCAGGCGTGGCGCTTGGCGACATCCACCTTCGTTTCACGTGGCAGGCGTGGCGCTTGGCGACTTCTGCCCTTGTTTCACGTGGCAGGGGTGGCACTTGGCGACATCCACCTTCGTTTTGCGTGGCAGGCGCGGCACTTAGGGCACTGGGCTGGCTCTGGTGGCGCGCTTGGACTGGATTAGTCGCCGGTGGCACCGCGGCACTTTGCGTGGCAGGCGTGGCGCTTGGCGACATCCACCTTCGTTTCACGTGGCAGGTGTGGCACTTGGCGACATCCACCTGCGTTTTTACGCGGGTTTCAGTGGCAGGCGTATGCATGCTCAAGCTGCCCATCCCATCCCCCCCGGGTCAAATGGATTCAGGGGGCGCCGTGCTGCGACAAAGCAGCAAGGAGCAGAGCAAACCACGCACAGAGAGGCTAAGGAAAGAAGTGTATGAGTAACTAGATATATATATATATATATGCATATGATATGTAAATATATATATATGATTTTCTACCACACATACATGTACATGTCTCTTTATTTTTGTAAATGCATACACATGCATGTATATATAAAGCACCAAATGTCAAACTATTTTGATGTAGATGATATGTATATATACATGGCGATGATACATACATAAATTTACACATGTAAATATGGTACACACACACATATATATATAAATAATATATGAATGTAGTGTGGTGTAGCGCAGCTGTAGTTGTAGTTGTAGTTGTAGTTGTAGCGTAGCGGAGTTGTAGTTGTAATGTAGTGTAATTAGTGTAGTGTAGTTGCAGTTGTAGTTGCGGTGTGGTGTAATTAGTGTAGCGTATTGTAGTGTACTGTAGTGTTGTGTACTGTAGCGTGGTATAGTGTAGTGTAGTCTAGTGTATTGTAGTGAAAAGTAGTGTAGTTGTAGTTGTAGTGTAGCGTCGTGTAGTGCAATGTAGTGGTAGTTGCAGTTGGAGTGTAATGTAATGTAATTAGTGTAGTGTAGTGTTGTGTAATGTAGTGTAGTTGTAGTTACATTTAGTATTTGTAGCTGTAATGTACTGCAGTTTAATCAGTGTATTGTAGTGTAATGTAGCGTAGCTGTGATTGTAGGTCTAGCTGTGGTGGTGGTGGTGGTGGTGGTGGTAGTAGTGGTAGTAGTAGTAGTCGTCGTCGTCGTAGTAGTAGTAGTAGTCGTAGTAGTAGTAGTCGTAGTAGTCGTAGTAGTCGTAGTAGTCGTAGTAGTCGTAGTAGTCGTAGTAGTCGTAGTAGTCGTTAGTTGTCGTAGTAGTCGTAGTAGTCGTAGTAGTCGTAGTAGTCGTAGTAGTCGTAGTAGTCGTAGTAGTCGTAGTAGTCGTAGTAGTAGTAGTAGTAGTAGTAGTAGTACTAGTACTAGTAGTAGTAGTAGTAGTAGTAGTTGTAGTAGTTGTAGTAGTTGTGGTGTAATTAGTGTGGTGTAGTGTAGTGTACTTCGATGTAATTAGTGTAGTGCAGTGTAATTAGTGTTGTGTGATGTAGCGTAATCTGTTTGTACTTGTAGTTGTAGTAGTAGTGTAGCGCAGTGGTACTTGTAGTTGTAGTTGCAGTTGTAGTTGTTTATCTATCTATCTATCTATCTATCTATCTATCTATCTATCTATCTATCTATCTATCCGTCTGTCTATCTATCTGTCTATCCGCAAGCTTGAAAACGAAGCTATTCTGCGAGACTTCCTCAGTTTTTGAACTTGACAACATCAAAAACGAAACAATTCTGCGAGACTTCCTCAATTTTTGAACTTGACAATATCAAAACGAAACAATTCTGAGACTTCCTCAATTTTCGAAGTTGACAACATCAAAAGCGAAACAATTCTGTGAGACTTCCTTCAAAAATGGAAAGTTGAGTGCAGAGCTGATGGCCTCGTGCCAATGCGTTTTGCGATTTTTCCGCTCCACCTGTCTAAAGTACTGCGCCTGCCACGAAAAAGTGATGCCAGGTCATACGAAGTGCTGCACCTGTCAGGCAACATCATCTTCCCAAAACTGAAGATCTCATGCTCCAAAATGCAACCCCTCTCAGGAAATCAGCACCCGGACCTCCTAAAGTCTCTGATGAACATGTCTCTTGTACTGCGCCTGCCACGGAAAATTCTTCTTTCCAGATCCTCTTCAAATGCCCCA